AATTTAGGGAATATTAAACGAAGTGTTTTATAACTTTTAAAAACAAACAAAATATTTAATAGATTCATTATAGAAAGAAATATGTTTTAAGAAAAGGAATTACAAATTTAAAAGATCAAATGGAAATGTGTAAAGTAACATAAAAATATTCTCAAAAATATTTGAAAATAGATCAATGGACCGTTATAATACTTTAAATCACCGTGAATCATGAATTAGGTGTTTTGTAGGAAGGATGACGAATTTATATTTGAAAACATGTTATTTTCAAATTATTTTCAAACGTTTCCAAACTTCATCGAAAGTTTTGTTTTAATAAATAGGAAACCATGAAAATCCATCAGGATCTATTTGATGTCCTAGATTCGTACTGTCCTGCCTTTATCGAACATTTTCGTAAATCATTTATTATTAAAACAATCTAAACCTTTTATCTATTAAAACAATTTAAACCTTCTTTTCTATTAAAAGTGTTCCTCATGGATGGAAGGCTGCCCAACAGAATGGCAGCGGAGAGAAAACAGAGAACAGAGCTCACACCACAAGAATATCTACAATGAAAGATAGATAGATAGATAGATAGATAGATAGATAGATAGTCAAAGTTTAAAATATTACAGGCTTGCACCATCAGGTTGCAACGATTATTATAATTTAAAGTTTGAAGGGAGTTATAATTTTCTTTAAAAAAGTCAATATTTCAATTATGTGTTGACTGAACCAGTGTTTAAAAAATATAAATACACAAATATATGTCCCTTTAGAGTTTATTTTATAAGAACAATCATCTAGTGATGGTTGGGGTCCAAAGTTGAGGTTCTACGCAGCACAAATGTGGCTCGCCTCCCCTCTTCCCCCCCCCCTCTACCCGACCTTAAATAGCCATACTTTGGTTTTATTACTCTATTTCATTTAAATAAAACATTTCCATTTCCCAAATTTTCGATTGAAAATGTTTAAATATTGAATATAAATAGGATATGAAAGAAGGGGAGGGGGGGCTGTAAGGTCAATGTACCCCCCCCCACTATAGCATCCAAGTTTTTATAAAATCCGGAAATTGTAGAACTTTGTGATAAATACTGCCATTGTTTTATCTTAAAAAACTTGAACTATATCAATATAAAGAGAAAACTGCAAAAATATCAAATAATACAAAGAGTGCAAAAAGTTGCAACTAAGAAAGAGCTAATAGTTTTAATTTGAAAAAAGAAACAAACTGAATAATGAAACTGAGTAATTAAATTGAGTAATGAAACTGAGTAATGAAACTGAGTAATTAAATTGAGTAATTAAATTGAGTAATGAAACTGAGTAATTAAATTGAGTAATAAAACTGAGTAATGAAACTGAGTAATTAAATTGAGTAATGAAACTGAGTAATGAAACTGAGTAATGAAACTAAGTTATGAAACTGAGTAATAAAACTGAGTTTGAATTCACATTTCAATATTTTTTTTGTCTCATTAGTTTCCTTCGTTGAATTTGCTAAAAATTTCTTATTCTTGTTCACAATAAACTCAACAAAAATATTATACATAAAAGGACTGTCTTTGTAAATTCAAGTGAACCCCTATTTAAAGAGTTATATGCCATTTTATAAAAAGCACCTGTACAAATTGACGATTTTCAATTGTGGTTTCTTTTTAAAAACAATTCGCAGAAATATGCAGGAGCGAGGAACTACGGATAGTATTCAATAGTTTAGGATCTTTCTATTTTCTACATTTACAAGGGTAACGCTGTGAATCGGGGGTTATTTGAAAATTACGTTTTTCAGCCCCATTAAACATTGATAAAGGAATTGAGTTTTTGCAACAAACTCTGATTTTATAATTCCTATATCTTTGCAACCCAATATCATAGACCTTAGATATTTCAAACTATAAATTCTGTTTGAACAGATAATCTAAGTTAGAAATATCAAAGGTTTACATCATTTGGTTTAAAAAAAATAGGGATTTGAAAATTTGTGTTTGTGGCAAAGACTCAATTCCTTTGTTTGACTTAATCCTATAAAGGCTAGGGGTCTGAATCTATGTTAAGCCTGGGGGGGGGGGGCGTTTGGCGACCCCCACCCCCCTAGAAAAAGACTTTAGAGAATAGTTATAGGGTTGAAATGCATGTTCATAGCCAAATTTCAAGGCCAGCTCCAAGAAAAAATAATTAGACCAATAATTTTAATAGTTTGAGTGCTAGAGGGAGGGTTGAAAAAAAGCCTAAAAAAGGGTAAAAAAAAGAAAAAAATATTTTTTTTGTTTTAAACAAATATCAATGTGTGACACATGTTTCTACATGCATTTTTCAAGGGCTTTTCAAAACTATAGTTTTTAGATCTGTAACTTAGTCACAAAAAAGTTATGGGTTATTTTAGATTTTTTTTTCACAGACAGGACTTTTTTCCACCCTGTACCCTACCCTAAAAAAAATATTTTTTAACAAAAAATACTTTAAATTGCTATTCATTAAAAGTCACAAAATTTCACGGTGATAGTGTCAAAGAAAGAGGTTTAAAAGAAGTTTATAAAAAAGGGTATATTTGATAAAAACAATATTATACACAGGGATCTAAATAATATATGAACTTTCTTCATCTTTTTGTGCAAAACAATACGCAATTAACCACCTCCCCCCCGCCCCAGCCATAGATAGCAACTCCTGCCCACGGCGCTCGGTCCAGAAATCGTCTTCGTCAAACCAACAACATTGTGGGCTTACATTTTTTTCTAGTGGGAGGGGGGCTCATAACCCATTGGAGCCCAAAAAGATAACCCAAGGTTTCACTGACAGGGGGGGGGGGGGTTGTTCCGATATATGATGTTAATGTATTATAGTATTTTATTCCGATATATGATGTTAATGTATTATTTGGTATTTTATTCCAATATATGATGTTAATGTATTTTAGTATTTTATTCCGATATATGATGTTAATGTATTTTAGTATTTTATTCCGATATATGATGTTTATTCCTGGCCACTCCAATATATTTTTGGTCACAGCTAAAAACTGTTAAATTAGTGTAACCTTGGACTTTTAATCCTGTAGAGTCATGTTTTGGGAACCTTCCCTTTAAGATTATTTTATATTTTCACCTCTGTATCATTCTATGAATCTAGAATCTAGATATGGTTTAAAGTAAAGGTCAGGAGAAACTGAAATGAAATTTCTTTAGGAACCAATGGTGCGCCAAAAATATTAAACTGTTATTTCAAAATGTTGCATTTAAAACAAAATTTATGCTTTTTAGTTTTAGCTAGAGCGCACGTTATTAGTGTTCTTTGTGCACGTTTAATATAAGGATTAAGGTCAAGGGTTGCATTATCAGGACACACTCAAAACTACTTTCATAATTTCCAGACAGGTTTTTTATGTTATAATTTATCCAACCCAACCACTCAGAAACTGCTGT